TGTGACTTTTTCCAAATTATATAAGTAAATGTATTTTCTAAGACTATTTAGATACCAGTGACAAAAGGTGAAGGAAAACATCGTGAGGAAACCTAGACTTATAATTTGAAGTAACAAGTTTGAAATTGCCTATCCGTCTTGAGCAAGTGTGGTGAAAAATTTATCAAACCTCCGTGTGAGTAGAGGCCTTCGCTCAGCAGTGGGCACTTAGGTTGATGATGTGATGTGATTAGTCTATAGACCAACAACAAAATAGCCCACAAATAACGCTCACAAACCTCACAATTTACAACACACAACAAAGCCGTTCCAATACATCCATCACGAGCCTATCCCAATGTTTCATAACGAAGCAACGATTAAGAACTTGAAATTAGTTCATAGTTACTGGAGACAAGTGTAGAGTTTCAAACGCATGCCGGATGCGAGGAGGCGACGAGTCGTGACCATGTCAGAAACGTCAGTCACCACTACCTGACACCTAACATCAGTCAGTCGCCAGCACCCGACACTTTGACATCAGTCAAAAATGGCGACCGTGACGAAGACTACACCCCTGCTATACGGTTTACCGACCATGGATTGAAGTTGCAACGAACGCTTGCAAATCAAATGTCATTCATTACAAAATGGACGCTCATGTTTCTACCTTGTAACAGTTTTGTGTGTGTATTTTCAGATGAATGTTTGGCTAGCCATTGAAACCTGAAATAAGACTGTGTGAAAACTGATACTTCATTTCATCAAACCTTAACTAAGCAGGTTCACTAATAGTATTCTCTGAATAAAGTAGAGTAAACTTAGTTTAGTATCTAATTCCCGAGCCTTGTCAGCCCTTATTTAGTTGTGTTTTAAAGGTGGCCTACTCTAGAAATTTCTCCTGTGTCGTGGGTGCGTTTACAAACACACAAGATACCCAGACCCGGAACAATGCAAACAAGTTATAGGTAAAACTTTTATGTACAAAATCTGACCAGCAGGAAATAGTTTGTTAAAACTCATTTCTCTATTTTGAAGCATCAAAAAATGGCTCCAAATTAAAACGTTCAAAATTCTACAAACACTTCTACAGCTAAAGGAAGCTATATTCCACATTTCCGAACTCCCTGATAAATCTATATACCTACGAGGAGATTATCAGAAGTTACACAGTTGTCCGTTGTTTATCATCGCTTAACTGCACTACAATCAGTAAGCGGGACTATTATCCGACATGAAATATTCATTGGCCACCGACACAGATTGTTGTCACTCGTATTATGCACCAGAAATCACTTAAGGCTGACTATAGAGCGGACTATTAGCGATAATTCGCTGTAATGGCTGCCCAAGCGAGTTTGTTGTGTACGACAGGAATCGACGCAAATGTATATAATGCAGCTAATGTCGATGATAGCAGTGTAATACATGAACATAACTGGGCTTTAAAAGAATTGATTATGTGCCTTTTGTAATATATCTACTTTTACGTAAGTATCTATATGACATTACAATACGCGTGACATTCATTTGTTTGTTATAACGTATTGTAAACATCAGTCTTTTTTTATGAGGGGAAAATGATCAAAAATCCCCCCGTTCCTTCTCCTGGTCTAGGTGAACATCAGTCTTGACTTGCCTTTGTTGGTTAGTTATAGAGTTCTAAAGTTTTATAAATGTTGTGCCTATTGAATCTAGATTTATTCAACAAATAAAGTTAGGTAGTCATTAAAATATGTAGATAAGTTGTATGGCAGTGGAAAAACATAAAGTCATTGATTTAAAAAAGTAAAATAAATAACAAAAGTGCATTACCTGAGTGTTCAAATTTACATGCAAGATCCACTAGATATTGTTTAACACAAAAAAAAATTTACACGCCTCGAACTAATTTATCTAATGTTTACGAGTACATACATTTTTAATAGCATTCGGTAGCTAATCCAATAAATCAACGACCATTTACATTGCAAATAGGTAACAGATCTGTGTGAAAACATTGGCAGTTTTACCAACAAATTATCAAGTATTAACATTAATAATATCACGCTACACTTATCGAGTGGCTAGCGTCAAAACTGCGCTAATGAGCGCTCAGCATTCGCAATCTCGCGCCATCTGTCTCTAATCAACGAATCGAGTTAATTAAAACGCTTGGCAATATGGCGGCGGGGTGTAATTGCTATTAATAAAGCGCTTTCCCGTATAATTAGACGGCTGCGCGCGCGGATTGGCTGCTCGGCGGGCCCTAATCACGACGTGATAACATTGCGCTAATGGCGTGCATAGCTTTCTATTGCATAATCACGACCTGCGCTCTAACTGTCGACGGACTAATTCGGCTTTACTGTGTGAACTTACGTTCCGCTTATACCATAACATCCCTGTCTGCTTATATTTAATGATGTCAGCTAGGATTACATTAATATCGTTCCTCTTCTAGCCAATGGTTTCCTCGTAAATATTTCAAGCTCGCCATTTCAAGTTATTAAAATTAAAACATATCAGAAAATGTGTTAATTGATTAATCAAATTCACGAATGCATTAATAAAACCAGAACGGCCGCTATTTTAAGTAAGTAACGTGCTTTTAGGATTTATGGTTGAAAAAAATCCAATTGTGCGTAGCAAGAAATTCATCAAATGAGAGGCCGAAGGAAACAATGATTGACGAGTTCGCACCTCGGTTCGTGCCTTTCTAATTAAGACGACATGCGTGCGCGCACTGCTGCAACTCTTCGCGCTCGTTTAGCTCGGAACACACTTATCTTGTCTCTGCTGCGCGCTTAATTGTTACATGAACACTAACACTCTTCTAAACATTCTCAGTTGCAGTTAATAAACTGCAATCAACATGACACCAAACATATCCGACTCACATACAATAAAGCACATTTCTGTTACCATTTATAGCTCAGATAGAGAGACCTTTCACACGAACAATACTAATCTAAAGCAGACACTAATTTATGACACACGAATAAATTTCAATCATAGAAATGTATTTTAACAATGTCATAACGATAAAAGCGCGCTGTAAACGGGCGCCTCTTATTTCTGTCTTCGGTACATGCTCATTAAAGCGAGTCATATGCGCGTTCTCGGCGTTCTTTTGCTCTCGCTCGCTTTTCCGCTAACTTTTGGGTGGTAGGATGATGGACGACGTCGGTGGTCATATATCATTGCGGTAATATATCGCGAGTGCGCCGAGTGTCGCCATTAACGCATGCGCGCAATTGCCCGTGCTCAAACGCTGCACGCGCATGCACCATCGCGACTGCTATAAGAAGCGTCTCACAAATCGACGCGCGCGACCACAGCTAAACGTGCATAAATCTTATTAATGCTATTCTTATTTTCGTCCACTCTCTCGATCTTGTAAAATCATTAGAACTCTTGGAACGACTGTGCCCGTCGTGTAGCTTTTGTTAAATATCCCAACGTTATATGGAGACATAAAATTTACTACGAACGAACGTCCCAATCAAAATTATATTGTAAATCATAATACGTCTACACAATGATGACGAACAGCCTGGGTGGTCGACAGTCATCCCATCAGTTATGAATGTTCTTGTAATCCGCGGGTCAAAAGCCGCATACCGTTTGCGCAAGCCCGATGGCGAATTGTCAAACGATCTCGCGCACCGCTGCGCCTCTGGCATTGTCGACAAAAAGTGAGAGGCCGCTAGACGAAGCTGCGTCTCAGCTTACAACTAAAGATTTGTTGTTTCCGTTCTCGCCGCCTCAATGACTACCATTTTATGTCGATTAGGAGATAGTGTTTCACGCGCCCGCTACCGACACCAGTTTTTGTGACACTCCTTTCTGCTTACAACGAGTTTATTATCGTTGATCAGTTGCTGTCGGTTATTTTTTGTGATTTCTACATCAACGATTCGTTGTTCTACTTTTAGTTTACTTTTATTTCGTGCTAAATATTGTGTTCGGTTCCCCTCTTCAAATTAGGAATGAATACAGGAAACCGCAGTGATATAAGAGAATGAAACGGGAGCTATTACGTCGACCAACCGCAAGCCACTTTGCTCACTGAACAAAAACATACACCTTTACAAAAATGTCTACCCATTCATCTTTCTCCAAAGGAGACATTAAAGAATGTCTCCGTTAAGAAGGGGAAGGGGACGACAGCCTAGTATCAAAGTCGTATGAAACAATTCACGCTGAACCTTTATTTTTCCTTACACAACAACGAAGGTGTATTCGAATTTGAGCTCTATCGTTGTAGCTTAGGATTTTTTGTAGGTTTTATTGTAAATATTTATTATTGCTGACAATGTATCTGAAGCGGGGAGGGGACCTAAATATAGGTGGCGACCCTCTTAACTAGGGACTACGTTTATTGAGGGACACGCTGCACTGATGTGCCATTTGTGAAATATGAAGTGGATTCCCTTCGTTGGCCCCTGTAATATACTGTAAGCCTCTTTAACTATATCTATTTGTAATGCCACTAAACTTGTTGTTATTGAATAGAGTAATGCCTAAGTTTAATATGATTATAATATAAAAACAAGGGGTGTTATTATATCTGGCATATTCAGATTTAAGACTAGGTACTAATTACTTGCGATAATTTGCGATACGATAACAGCAGTCCTTAATGAGGGAAAGCAGATTTGTGTCGGTCTCAGAGAGCGATAATTCCAGTCCAGCCGAGTAATTGACGAATAATTGCGTTAATGTGAAAATATACGGTTTAACATAACAATGGAACGAGGAAGTCGATAATATAGAAATGTATATTGTTATAATTTTATGTTTTGCACAAACACGCGTTTTGAAGTAATTGCTGAATGCGGTTTCTTTGTAGGTTTGTCTTAGTTTTGTAAATGTTCTAGTTTACTTGAATCTATTTAAGCTTTTTGAGATACCAATTATCTTAGGCCGCAACCGAATGACTGAGACCTCCTTGCCAAAAGCGGAGTTTATCATTAATTACAATTTGTAACGTATTTCTCTTGAATAAATACTAATTTGTATTTTCTTGTGTTTATCAGACGCATGTTCCCGACGGTGCGCGTGTCGTTCGCGGGGTGCCGCGCGGATGCGCGCTACGCCGTGCTGCTGGACGTGGTGCCGGTGGACGGCAAGCGGTACCGCTACGCGTACCACCGCTCCTCGTGGCTCGTGGCCGGTAAGGCGGACCCGCCCGCGCCCGCGCGCCTCTACCCGCACCCCGACTCGCCCTTCTCCGGCGACCAGCTGCGGAAGCAGGTCGTCTCCTTCGAGAAGGTCAAGCTCACCAATAACGAGATGGACAAGAACGGACAGGTTAGTTGAACGAATACTCCAGTAGTTGAATATATATTTAGTAAATACACATCAATTAGGTAGACTCTAAATAAGATCTGTATCACCTAGTTTTTACTTCTTGTGAAACAGCTGGTCCTGAACTCCATGCACAAATATCAACCACGCATTCACCTGGTGTTGCGACGAGAAGGAGCCATCAACGCGCCCATCACAGACTTAGAACAAGAAGAATTCAAGACGTTCATATTCCCCGAGTGCGTGTTCACCGCCGTCACCGCGTATCAGAATCAACTCGTAAGTACCGTGACAGTTTTGGCACACCTTGTTTACTATTGAAGTCCATTTGCTACGTACGCGGTTTATTTGGCATCAGGAGTCCTGTTCTTAATTCTATCATTTGATTTCTAAAATAGATCAGAGAGACAAACGTTTGAAATCGCATAGCGCCGGTCGGCTGACTATCGACGAATGCTATTTGAGTCGCACTAATTGCATCTCGCTGAAAGGTATGTCCAGTCTGAACAAAGGGAGGTGACACATCATTTTTTGTGTATCGACGGCCACACGCGGGCGACGCCGACGACGGACGGACAGCGCGTCTGACGCGTGCTACACGGTGACGATTAAAGTTTTCACCCGAGCTAAATATAAAGTCCTAGTAGATGTCGAGCCGATCGTGTCCAGCGAAGTATCAGCTATTATTGCCATTGCTTTTTCCATCTATAATTTCCTCTCTGAAGATTTCTGAGAACTGCCCGTTAAATTATGTCAACTTTCAAGTTAAACGTTCTCTGAAACTCACGTACCAATTTCGATCACCAACGGTAAAACATTCGTGAGTCATTGGGCAGTTGTGCATAGGCTTCACAAAAGTTTCTCGAGCATTGCGCATTGTAATTATTCGGCGTGCGAAATGTGTAATGACAGGTTGGCTGTGACTATGAGTAGTAGTTTGATGATTAAATGAGATGTGTGCACTACATAAATTGGACGAGTTGATTAAGTAACATGTTGTATAGCGGCCCGCTACCCGCTCCGCTCGTGAAGTCGCGGATGCAGCGGCCGCAGCCGGCAGCGCATGTGTCGCCACGCGCAATTAATTCTCTGTCACAAGAGCGTTTGGGCGTCTCCAAGTTCCTCGTTTTGTATCATCCCGCGTAGTAAAATAATTAGGACGTTTTGAGGTTCATAAAGGAAACGTTACTTTATATCGACAACGCGGTACATAAATCTTCATTCGTTCGTTAATTAGCTGTTACGGGCTCGGTTTAGTGTTACCATTTGTACATATTTTGTTACTTGAACCAAATTTATTTATTGATTTATAAGAAAAGAATATGGTAATTCTTCTTATTATCAAGTAGTCTCTGTAGGTAAATTATTAAGTCTACAAAAAGAGTTTTTAACATCACAATTAATTTTATAAAATAATTTCAATATGGATAGTTTCTGGTAATTGAATAGTTATAATGATTGGTCAACTTTTTTCTTATAAGTATCATGCGGCCGTAAAGAAAAATATATTGTTATAATGACACACAGATCTGAAAGATAAGAAATGCATTGAAAACGCTAGTGTTTACTTATAGTAAACAGGATGGCAATGTTGATAGGAACAGCTGGCCATTAGTGTAAAGCATCAAGCATCCATTGAACGCTCTGCGGAAGCTCCACCTTCGCAGTCAGCTTCCAACGACTCCCTAGGGTCGGTGATTATAGATTTTCATTGATTCTAACGCGTTCCTAGATTTACAGCCGCTGTCTAGTGACAGTGCCATCCATTACGAATGCGATGTAGCTACTTACATATGTATACAACTGTAAGGGGCTACAAACTACACAAGCAGAAAGATGGTATGCATATTTAAAAAGTCAAAACGTTTCTGAGGGTTTTTTTTATTAAATAAGATTCTAAAAGGTCATTTGATACCGATTATGTACAACTTTGAAATGTCGAAGGTAGATAAACTACCTACTTGACGAGGTAAAAAGCTCGATATCAAAACTTCGATCGCGAGTGTCCAGGCGGGCGGCGCGCGCGCACCTCGATTTGGCTGACGTCACAACTCTGACAGCTAAAACATTTGTCGAACAGCGGAGATAGTGTCATTGATAACTCAATCCCTTATAACAATAAGAATACACTTAGCATGTTTGCACCTGCGCCGCGCCAACCAAGATCGATAGAGCCCGCATAACTTTATGCTGTATAAAAAGTGGCCAGTTTAACACTTCATAAAAAACAATCATATAATCCTACCACACTTGTTCCAGAGATAAGAAAATGTGAATATTTTAACCACTATCTAGATAATATATGTTTTCGGAAAAAAAGTGTCACAGAAATAAAATGCGCGCGCGACGTTTGTTAAATCGATGGGAATGAAACATCATTATTGGTGCTTTATCATATCGAAATGTTGATATAAGACGAGATAAAATGTTTTATAAAAAATTTGAGGCGCGTTTTTTTGTGTGTGTATCGCGGTGTGAGACTGAGCGTCGCCTGCGCGCGCGCCGCGGGGCGGTTTCCCGGGAAAGCGCCGTGGGCCCGACCCGCTTCAATATTTAACATTTTTACACCCACCACACTATTGTCCTGTTGCTCGTTTTCTCCAGAATCCTTTGTCTGAGATTGGACTCGCATCGAGGTGACAATGTTTGTTGGAGTTTACGCATCCTCAATGCACACAATGCGTTTTTTTATTAGCCGATGACTTGTGAATTTGTTATGATCGATGGCCTCTAGAGGATATTCTTCGAGTAAAAACTTGCGGATAGCAACCTGCGACGATATGTTACCTTTGTAAATAAACATGTATATTATACTTTGCTTTGTTCAAAATATTTGTTTATAAATAACATTCATTGATGAATCCCTTCGTAGAAAATTTCTAAATCACTGTCAAGTAGATACAACATCACCCTGTTCATATTTGGTTTGGAATCTATATTAATTTTATTTGTATTTATTTTCATGGGTAGGTAAAGTGAATCTCATCTTCCACCTGCCGTTACTCGGGGTCAAATTTTATCTTTTCAATCATCGTTCTAAAAACCGATTAGCTATATTTATTTTGATTTCTTAGATACGATCAATCAAAGCGATAGGTTCATGCGTTCTGAATATTAATTTTATTAACAAGTAGGTGATAGGTGTTACCTACAGCGGAGTCTAACAAGTCCAATGGGTAGTGTAACGAGCAGTACACGATTGACAAATACAAAACAAGATAAAAACATTAGAGAAATCGTGTCAGTGGCGAGTAGTTGTTGGTCATGCTATATCACACTATTACGCGGCTCGAGGAGATAATCACGAAAATAACTGCGCACGCTCACACACAAGCGTAAGTAGAGGCAAACACGCTCAATACGCGCTTAATTGAAATTTATAACTCATTTCTCAGTATCAACAATCAATATTCTAAAATCTCCGAAGCTATTCTCACATTGAGCATCCACAAACGAGTTCCACGCGAGTATAATCGAACAATATAATGAAGGAGTAAAGGTAAACACAATTTCAATAACAAAGGGCGACCATGACAAATAAACATATTTCACGGGCCAAAATGGCTGCGGTCAGGTGTCACGTGGTGTGTCCCCGCATCCCCCGCCACCCCACCCCCTCACGTTTCCTTTTCTTCACCAATAATCGATTCATTCTTTTCAATACGATCCTTTTATATTTGTTAAGTTATTGCTCGTTTGTACAACATCGCTTTGTTGAAACACTCCTTTATCTTGTCATTAGTTTTTTTTGAATGAAAAGATTCTTATTTTTCTTAATAGATTTTCTTCTCTTCTTATTATGTTAAAATGGTTAAATAGAGCATTTCACAATTGTTTGTTTTAATTAACCATAGGTTTTTTCTAACTGGTTTTATTTTGCAAAGCTCTGTGGACTTATGTAAATAAGTACACTCAACATTAATGCTTAGACGGAGCTACGTTATTGTTCAACACGACCAATTAAATAAAAAAACGGTGCTATAAAACCATCAATGTCTCTGCAACAGTTCATTATTTAATAATTCAATAAATAATAATGCTCGATAACACGAAACGCACATAAGTCAAAAATACAAGAAGTCAACGTACTTGCTTAAGAGTGGATTTAAAATAATTTAAGATGAAATTATTTATTAGGTTTCTGTCCCTTTCACTCTCGAGCCACGTTACCGAGTGAGTTATATGCTGGTCTCAGTCTCTCCTACCATCGATCACTGGAGGTGTGACGTCACGCAGAGCCGTCGTGTGCGGCCCGACTCAATTTATTGCGCCTGCGCACCAAGCCACTACAGAAAAACTAAACATTTGTTTGTATACCAAGTCTTTAATTAAATTTACAAACATCATTCTGTCTTAGTCTTACATATAAAGTTTGACGATCAAAAAATGTTCAATAACAAAAAGGAAAAGTTAACAATGATGTGTTATTTAATTTGTAACACATTATTAGACTTATAACAAACCTTTTTGTATGGTTTCTTATTTCACATTTATGAAAAAAAAATGTGTCAGTTTGAAATACGTCAAACTCACTCCGGATAAAATATTTACAACATTACAAATAATTGATGCTTTAAAAATTAATTTATTTTTGAGATGTGGCAGATTGCCTACTCGCTTATATTTCGAGTTTACAGCCGCAACTACGGGCACGAGTGTAAAGTAGACTTGATACTGACTGTGGGTCCTTTGAAAGACCTAATGAATCGGTTGAACAGAGAAGCGATCGACAGGGTACCGAGTTATTAAAAACAAACGTAGCAACAGAATGAAATTGACAAAGATAAATCACAAATTAAGTACAAGAAAAGCTGAAGGTAGCTGAGATGTGGATGTGCAGGATGATAGTGAAAATAGTGACGGAAATAGCTGATGACCTGTACAATTTACACACGTTGACATTTATTGTGTCGATAGGAACAGTACGGGAGAGCCTGCAGCTCATTGACGTTCTAGACGAGGACGAAAATTCTTGACTGCCCCAAAAATTTATTTCTTGATCTGAGAATAAACCTTATTTTACAACCAATACGCTTTGTTTCTCTATTTCAAAGGAAAAAGTAGAAAGAAAGATGCAATTAAGAATATTCGATTCAATTTATATCACTCACATTGCTCAAATCGTTTTTAATCCACGAAACTCTCACCTTATTGACAAAAGTTGTTTACCATCCTGTAGGTAGAGGTGCACACTAAACAAGTTTTGGAACTGCAATTAATTCGGAGTGTTCAGAACACTTTCTGGGAATATTATCACATATATTGGTCCTGTTATACGTGGATGCCACATGCAGCGTTCATTATTTTGGTGCATTCACGAATTACTGTCAATAAAGCATCGGTTTTCTGGAAAGCATCGTTATGGTGCGCAGCTGTAGGTCGTATGGGTTTCACGAGACTTTTGATAGCAGAACACTTTGCGGAACTCTCATTAAACAGCTTCACATAACTACTTCAAACTACCTTATTATTCAGAGGTTCATAATCACGAATTAACGGACGAGTAAAATTAAGAGAAACAGCTCTTCTATAACACTTAAGGCCCAGCACTATAACTTTAAATGGTTTTAAATACTTTTCCTTAAGTCGAGTCGATTGAGAAATATTTAACGTTAATTAGTCTCAGTTAATTCTCTCAAACAATAGAAAATAACACATTAAAATGTGATTTGTATAAAAAAAAAAAATTTTTTTCTAAATTAGATGTTACTTTTATATCTTCCTTTCCTGTAACTATTCTACAAGGACAACATAAATATGCCGTTGGTTTGTCTGCTAATACATCACTAGCAGATTGCTGACTCGTCGTTCGTCGCAGTACTGCATCAATCAATGAGATATGTAGGCAGAAGCAGCGCGCGCGCAAGCTAACGTGACATTTATATATTCTTCACAATGTTCCTGTCCTGTCCCGATCGTCGCTCACGTGTCCCTTTACACTGCGCACCATTTCGTCTTGTTATGAACTGTCACTAAACATTCTAAACGGCCATTCATTAGCATACATTTTTACAACATTTGTTCCTTGTGAAGGAATACTAAACTAAATTAAACTCGCTACAATGGAACAATAATAACATTTGGTAGAATGCCTTTCATGCAAATATCTCATCTCTTATGTCTTCGTATGTAAATGCTTAAATAAGACATAAATTCTCCTCAACTCGGCAGCTTCATTTATAAACGCACGTGCAAGACATCTGTGGACAAGTTTTAACTGTCAAATCGGAGTATGAATCGCGGAATACGGGGCTGGTACTTCCATAAACAATACATCACCACCCCAATAATTAGAGCATCGTTTGCTGAGATGCGCACGCGGCGGTCGCGGTGCGGCGGTCGGTGGCGCGACGCTCGTCTTTCTCTCCTTGACGCCTTTTTGTGAGATTTTTTTGTTTCCCGCCCGGGAATAATGTCATTATGGCGCCTTTAATGTTGTCAGTGAACGGGAGCGCGCCGCCACCGCCGCCGCCCAAGGCGAACGTTTGTTGATACTTAAATTAGGTTGTTTTGACACGCCTCGTTCTTATGTTTGTACTAAATCTAATAAACGTCAGTAGCAAGAAAGCATCTCATTCATTATTTCGGTGTTCTCTTAGTAATAATATATTTTATGTAGTTTTGTATAATTGAATACGATGGTACCGTGGATGGAACGTTAGTGGGAGTAGACGGGGTGTCGTTTACGTAAACGGAATTCAAAAACAAACATGAGGAATGGAAACAATTACGGTGCGGTGGGACAGCGTGGCATACATAATGTATAATCCGTCAATATTGTCAGCTACTACTCGCATTGTGGCGGAGTCATTACGTGTGGCGCAGGCGCGTCGAGAGTGTCGCCATTGTAGTCAATGGCGCTGCCAGGTGGGTGTGCAAGTGTAAGTAGGTGCCGCGACATGCCGGTGACCCTCGCACCGGCCGCGCCCCTTTACTGACTTAATGCACTCGGCCAATAGCCTACGTACATGAAAAGAAACCTAAGCGAAAGATCATCCACTTTTCAATTCTAATCTTCCCCAACAGGACAAGACATCTTTCACACTATCCATAATACTTTCCAAACATTTAATTCAAGACTACACACATACTTACTGACAACTCTTCATTCATGTCCCAATGACAATGATCAGCCAGGATCCGATTTCCATTCCACTGGGGACAAATATTTGAATGAAATTTAAATATTCTTGTTGATGTTCATAATTATTGTTTAGGCCCTTTTGAGGCGTCTTGGTAACCAAAAACCAAAAACGAAATAAAACAATCATAAATTCTGATACTGATGTTTTCGTTTCAAAATTCATTCATTAGTGAACGTAATAAGTAGACGACGGTTATAGACATATTTTTAGAAGAGAGATAATGTTAAATGGGCCACGAGTGGTAACAAATGTTCTTTGTCTAGTTTCTCTGTAACTATTTTCGAAATCATTAGTCTTCGAGTGACACGTTGCTCGTGAAATTACTCACCGCAACACAAAACATGACGTGGACCGGTCAATATTTTGTACGGTTTATGAATTCCCTTTGATCAGGAACAATGAGACTTGGATGTTTAGTCAAAGCATTTCATAGATAAACGGTGATCAAGTCAAGTCTGATGGAACACTTCAAACGCCAACATAAATATCTTCAACGAAAATTAAGAAGTTAATTGTCGCTACAACGGAGCGTCCGCCTCCAATAAACTAAACGTTTTACAATGTAACGCTGATTGTAATTGGTTTTGCCTTGTCTTTATTTTGAAGTGATTGTACTCAAAAGAATTCGATAATTAATTACCCACAAAAAACGAAATTATTAAAAATACCGTCAAAAAGTCCAGTGTATTTCTTATTTTGTCAGAATTTTCGTCAATTTAACACTTGGCTGGTGCGTTACATTTTTGCGTAATATCTAAAACGAGCGTAGTGTGAGTGTGAAGATGTGAGAACAATATACAATTAGGTACCGCGTAGGCGTGTGGGCAGAGCTACAGGTATGCAGCGGGCGCGGCTGCCCGCTGCCCGCGACTCAATCGCCAGGTAATTACCGTCGCCGACTGGACACGCTGAAAGATTGACACTACCGCGACCACTCTCGATGACTTGTTTATTGCCCGCCATTAAAAAATAATACATTTTTCTCACCTCCACGTCATAAAACTGCCAAGAATATGCTAAAATTAGTTTCGATATTGGTTTAATCCGTTCGGATATTAGGCGAGCAGGCGCTATTTAATGGTAACAGGTTTCCGTGGAAGGTTTTATCGTAAATATTATTCACAAATTGTGTGGAGCCGCAGCAGGGGTGCTGCCACTCAGCGAGGGGGCGATTTTTCATCGACGCTGCCTCTGCTCTGCCAAACACATTTTTTAACACCTCGCCCCGAACTTAAATCAAATATTTGCCCAATGTTTAATATAACATTTTTTCGTATATTTAGTACGATAGGTATACGAAAATGTACTTAATGATCACTAACAATTTAGATATTCTGGTGTCTCTTAGGCTTTACATTTTTCGATAGTACCTACAAGTATAATTATTATTATCATTAAGTAATAACTCAGTAAGCAATAATGGAATTATCTAACAGGTTTACTACTATATTATAATGATCTTCATTATTTATTCTTAATCGACAAGCCAGAACTTTCAAGTACTCGTTTGTACACAAACAATACGCACTAAAACACTATGAAACCTACATAACGTGGCAGGTTTAAAATGTGCACAGTATCGTAATAGCGTGGTAGTCAAGTAAAGTGATAAACCGACGTGGAATGTCGTCAATAAGTTAACCTTATTAGTTGGTGTGTGCTGAACTCCACGGGCGGTAGTGCTTCGGGCCCGTTCACACTGAGATATGGAGAACCTTTACTGACCCATTACAATATAAACGGCTGCATAATGAAATTAACTCGCTCGGTCTGAACAGCTCCTTATGATAATCGTCGACCCTTCTCCTCCACGGATATCGAAACTGTAACCATTACATCGATATAATTACACAATCATTTATACGAACACGTTTCTATAAATGTTGCATTTCAATCTTTATTCAGTGGAAATCATTGTGTCTCTTTTGTTTCAGATCACGAAACTGAAAATCGACAGTAATCCATTCGCTAAGGGATTCCGTGACTCTTCACGTCTCACCGAGTTCGAGAGGTAACTATCACATTAATGTCTGCGGTTAGAGGTGTCATTTATTGGATACCGTTGTATAGTCCCATATATTTTTTCTATACCAGAGGATTTGTAGCGAAAGAAACTGTTATTTTGTAACGATGATAATCAATCGGATGGACACACGACAGTGACAGCTATTTATTATCACTGCTAAGTGTTCATTAAGCTCAGCTCGTGCCACAATTCGGTTAGTTCTCTAATCGCACACGCATTGGACACGCTCTCAGAAACAAACATAACTGTCTGATGCTGATTGATATCTCCACGCGAGCAATTATGTCTCACTATTTATTGCTTCTTAGCCAATCCAATGTATCTAATAGCGGGTGAGCCGACATCAAGTTTCCACCCGTGTAATTTATAATGTAACAATTTCTCTCACCACATTCGCTTTGCAAATACAAATCTTATTGCTCGCTTTCGCGTTTCTAATGCAACTCTATATTCTCTTTATGATTGGGTGTTTTATTTTTTTTTTGTTTGTCTGTTGAGATACTATATCACGGGGGAGCACGAAAGAACATCAGTCTTCCCCGACGACGCGCGCTACAGCGCCGCCAGTCATAGGTAGATACGACCATACAATCATTTTACATACCTGCTTAACTTACTCGGAACGAGCACAAGTCTAAAGTTCAACTCCTTACCGTTTCAGGGAGACCATGGAGTCAATGTTGGCAGAACAACACTTCCTTCGTTCACCACTGCGACCATTTGACCTGGACCAACACAATAACAATCTGACGTTGGAAGAGAAGGCGATACTGGCAGCGCGGTCACAGCTGTTCCTACGTGCCGCGTACCCGCTGTACGGCGTCCCGGCCGCGGCGCTGTGGGGACAATGGGCTTGTCTGGCGCCACAGTTGCTGGCACAGCAGCACCTCGCAGCCTCTGGGTCTGGCCTGCAGCTGCCGCGGCCAGTGTACCCGGGAGCATTGGGTGCAGGCGGCGCGGGTCCGCAGCCGCTGGCTCAGCACCGGTTCTCGCCATACCCAGCTCGCCGTGCCTCACCAGGGTCCTCACCAGACTCGCTGCGCGACGCCAGCCCGCACCCCTCGCCGCTGCACCCGCCGCTTACCCCGCACACCCCGCACGCGCCGCACCCGCCCCACAGCCCTACTTAGTGATAAAACGCCGAATAAAAACCTCCCCGAGATCTCCCTGTAATAATATGCGATATTGTATGAGAGTCTTTATATGGAATGTTTCTGAGAGAACACAAAAGGGAATTTGAAGTGCGTCGGTGTTTCGGTGGGAAACGAGATGGCATCGTGAACTTCGATAATTTGATGCGCCGAGACGTGAATAAACTGAGTGCGAGTGCGCGGAGAACATTTACAAGTGCGGCCTGAAACGTGCGAGCCGGAACACCGCGCTCCTGAAACTGTCCTTACTCTGACTGTGAACTTGTATTATATTGTAAAATATAATTTAACTGTACTTTAAATCTGTAATTATTGTTATATGTTCCTAATAGTTTCGTCTCGTAGTGATGGTTTCTGCTAAATCCATGTTATAGCAAATTTTGAGAATCTCGCAAAACTAAGCATTTAATTGCCATGTACATTTCGTTTGGTTTATTTTGTAACTGAAGAAACAGAATATTGTCTGTGTGAGCTGTTGATGTCGTGGACGTTGGTACCTCACCAGTAGTGGCACTCGACACTGTACTTGGCTGATTTCATCTTTGTTAGGTAAAATGTGCAATACAAGAGAATTAAAAATTGTTTTAGTAAAACTTAGAAGTTTAGTAAGATATAGATGTATTGATAAATAATTAAATAGTAGAAATTATATTGCTGTCTATGTTTACATTAATTCCCGCATCCGAGCTACAAACGGATGCATAGATGTACCTACACGGTTACTTTGTAGTTAAATTATAGTTATTAAAAATAATATATTGCTAAAGAAAACAATTAAATGTTTGTTAACATATATTCCCTTCGTTTTATTCTTCCTTTAAAGCTTCGAAAAAAAAGAATAAAAATATTTTAATTTACTTTGTATGTTATGAACCCCTAGTAAAATTGTCTACTACTTATATTCATCGTCCATAAATCTAGGTCCCGTGCGAATAGAACAACCAATAATACTTTCCCCGATTCTCAAACCCGGACCCAATGGCATTTAGCAAACATACGACTCGACAGGTAGACAAAATTAGTATGTATACAAATTAAAAACAAGAAAACGAACAAAAATAATCCGCCATTGATGCTACGGTCCAAACACCTCGAGCTACCTACCTATATATGTACATAGGTGCATATTCTTCAGACATCAGGTAAATGTAGCTCTTATTCGTAAAGAGATAGGGTTCATTAATCATCGGCTACATCTTATCACTGGCTACATCCATCAATGAACATAGGCCTTCTCAAATATATGATAGTGATGGAAAAATGCGCTAATACTAGGGTAGCATGTTAATGTGTGTGTGGTGTAACCTTTGTGTAGGAGAGTCACGCTTTGGCACGTTTTGAACAGGTTGGTTTCACCAGAGTGATACCACGGCCTCACAGAAAACAGGCGTGAAACAACGCGTGTAGATTGGGGATACCGCTCCAGCCTCCCATCCCCCACCAAAAAATCCTTAGGCTTCTTTTAGTGAGGGGGATGACCATGACTGACGCTGATTGCTAACCATCAGGTGATCCATGTGTGAGTTTGTCAGTCTAACAAAAAAAAAGTCATGTGTTCGATTAATAGAAAAAAATATTGAATTCATTAATTCTGAAAAATCTAAATAATTAACATCGATAATTTTGATTCTGCCGCATGACGTCATTAGTGGATCTAAAAGGCAATTCCTTCTTGTAAAAGTTACACACAATTAACGTAGTCAACAGTAACTGCCAAACTATAATTCTATATAATATTTTAATTAGATATCTAAAGTCTAAAATAAAGATGCGATTCAAAAAAAAACAGTCCATTACAATTTTGTAGTTGAAAAATGAGCTTTTTTCCAAAGGCACCAAAGTACTTTGTGCTTAATTTCAACATTCGCGAAAAACATCGCTCATAATATACTCTACAGAAGCGAACACATAGGTATATTATATGCGTATAAGTAATAAAAGGTATCATCACGGCTTTAATGGGAAGCATAACTTTCATTGAGTGAGTGTGTTAAAAATTTCGAATTTCAAATATCCCAAATACTTATTTAAATCCCTAAATCAGAAACCTTACCAAACAACAACTCGATGTTAGCTATCATTCAACAATCAAAGTACCTAAATAACATCACATTTTGTTACAAAGAGCGCATATTTTAGTGCTTGTATGGAAATAATACTTATTGTTAATATCTTTACTTAAACTTCTACTCGACTCCTTTGTTCAGATTGGTTTTACGTATTTACTAGAATGCAATAATCTATTTCATTATCCAAACTATTTTTCGAAACATAGGTAGCGATTTATTTTTAACTGTTCACTATCGAAATTGTTAACTCCATAGTGCACAAAACATCATGTTCAATTTTAAGACAAAATTACATATTAAGGAAATCCTAAAATGAACCCTAATTACAATTGAGATTAAAACCATTATCGTATTTTCATCAAGTTAGTATGACCATCGTCGTTTTTGCTCAAGGGAGTTGGTACACGACAAATTGTTTGTAATTTACTATGTGACCAATAGATGGCGGTGGGTGTCGCTTTAGATACGTAATGTTGAGTAGGAGCTCGGAGTTTTGGCATAAGCATTTTGTTACTTGCTTTCGCTTTATTGGTATCTCTGTTTCATTTATTTTTTGAATGGATACTTAGGTAGTACGTAGTTTTCATAGGTAAATATATTTTTTTAGTAAGTAATTATTTTGATGACTTGGTAACAATGGTAAGTACAAAGATTATGGATAAGACAAAGAGTTGTTCGGAGTCAAACCTTTTTACACCGCGTATCATCTGGTTACCCAGCCACTACTGCGTCAACCGTGTAATATGCTTAGTATTTTACCTTTACGTACTTATTTACCGATTTTTTTTTAATTTCCCCGTCTACGCAAAGAACAACGTGTGAAAATCTTGTTCTTTTATAGTAAAAACATTTCAATTAGCGTTCATTCGTCTATTTAGCGCAGAACGTGAAAGTGTGACAGATTGCGAAATGGCAACAAATTAGAGGGACGTCTGGCAATTATGCAAAGCGGCTATAAAGTTATCTTTAGGAAAACAACGGCGTCACCCCACGCAAACTATTCAATTAAAATGAAGCAGTGCGGGGCCGACATGCGAGTCACATAGGAAGGGTCGACTACATCGAATTAGTTGCGCGCGTGGCTATATTACTGGGACAAATTCCGGGTCCCTAGGGTACTAGAGAGACCCGCAGGGCCGTGAATGCAACGCTAATCTAATCGGGATTGTACCTAATAAATGTTGTAGCCAGTGACACTGCCACCAAGAATTTATTGCTTGTAAAAGTGTTTCCAATCGCACTTATTGTTCGGATGACGCTCCAGATAATATCCGATTGAATTTAACGTTTGACTGAATATTTGATTTGATTTTAGTGTCCGTTGTAATGTTGTTGCTTTAATTAGTTTATTTATTATCAGGGTTCTTTTGGTAGGGATTGCTAGGGAGCGGTAACTGGTGTGATCATTACTTGTTACAGGTCACCTAATATGATTATAACTGACACTTTTGTTACGGTAGGTACTGGGTATTTCCACCTTCTAAAGATATTTAGTTACTTAAGATTTTTATTTTAAAAATAGTAAGGTACATGGATAGGTCTTATGTCGCTGCATAGTTAGGTATTTGAATAAATTTGGAAGCGAGTAAGGCCTATCTTTTTAGAACTGTCTAAAACTTAGTGATATGCCATCGAGAATCGAAATAAATAGGCACCCTCTTTCTACCAGTCTTGTCTAGTACACGAACAAATGCAAGGGAAGCAAACTAAACTACTAATATTTGTATAAAACTAACTATGGTAATTTATATACTACAGTCAAATCTTAGGCAGCAGTCACTAGCGAACATAATATGAAGTGAAACATAAGCGAACGTAGATAAGTATAGACAAAGCCTTATTCAGTGTGGCTTATCGGGCGGGATGGTGGAGGGTTTGTAATACGACGTTATTGGCCACTCGACTCATAATCCTCTTCTAACTGCGCATCCCGAGCCGCGGCGACGTGCTTCGAATCTTTATCTACACTTTCTTCTGGTCGTGAACATTCGCACTCCTTAGGTCTGATGTCGACGACACCGCGTTACGTGTTCAGGTCACTTGGGATTCCAATTATTGTTTTTCTTTTGTTTATTCTAAGCTATTTTGAAGTAGGTATTAGTAATGGTAATGCAATTTAGTTGGTATGATAGTAATTTGATGACGCATATACTTACTTGATACCATTCGTCTATATTTTCCATTACAGTGATGAGGCTACGCCACACATTGGCGTGCCGTGCAAGAAAGAACACATTTAAGCTCTCTCGCAATCAAACCGGAACAGAATTTTACGATGTAACATAGACAGTTGAGCAACAGACATACCTTCTGTTTCCAACATTCGGGTTGTAAAGAACAATGTTCTATATCATTTACATAAAGCTTGATTTAATACATAGGTACGGAGGCCGGGAGACAGGGGCGGAGCACCACAGCCGGTGCTAATGTCCCTCGGCGCGGCGAGCCCACACATCTCCACATCTCAGTAAAACTGCAAACGTAACGGGGTAATAAATTCACGTTTATTACCGCAAATATACGTACTCTTACCTTGGCAGTCGCTACCGGAACAAATCGTAGGTCCGTCGTTTACGCGGTATACGCGAAACGTGTGTTATGAAATATTAACGTAAACGCGCGCGTTTGCTGAAACAATGCATATAGAATAGGTTTTTAGGCCTCATCGCTAAGGTGGGCACATTATCAGAATGGAGCGCTAATGGAATTGAACATTTTTATTTATTGCCCGTGTGTTCAATGGTTCGTGGCGTTTATATGGATCTGGTATAACTCACTGTTTATGATTATTTTATTAACGCTTTAATGTTAAACGTCTGCTTTTTACAATAGAATTCATTTATACGCATTCATCCAAAAAAAATTATGACTATTTTATTGTGTACCGAAATGAAACAAAAAATTAAGTTA